CTATATCTCCTCATGTAAGCAGATTGTACATTATCCGAAATGTAGAGGTTCTGTGGAATAGAATCGAGTAAGGAAATTGATATGTTACCGGGTATCCAGCGGTACTCTCAATTTTGCACGGCAACATGTCTTCTTCTCTCAACCGTCTGATTCTCCGGATTCTCCGGTTTCAGAAAAGTATGTATGTTATGGGACGATTTAGCGTACGGTTTTTAGAGTACGGTAGTTTTGAATGTGCTAGCTACTATAGGATCAGGAAAATGGCTATATCTCCTCGTAGAGGCAGAATTTCTCTGCAAAATTTTCATTTTTAGAAAACCGAGATTCTCTTCAATCGAGCATTGTACAAACATTAATATGTTACAGGGCAAACTTGAGAAGACGGTAGGCTGGAATGTGTCAAATCTGCATTTCTATAGTAATGTATAATGTCCATTGATCTTTAGTGATCAAATGCATTTCAATGAGCACCTCAGCGCTAGTTGAGACAGCTTTAATAAATTAGCTACAGCTTCTCAACTAAGCAAAATCGTCCGACAAAGTATATATTTTTCTGAATACAGAGATTCTGTTCGTTCGATTCGTGTGAAGAAATTCATATTTTACTCGTCAAAGCTGAGAGTACGGTAGTTTTGAATGTGCTAACCCCTACAGGATCAGGAAAATGGCGTTTTCATTTTCAGAAAGCCATGATTCTCTTCAATCAAACCATGTACAAACATTAACACGTTACCGGGCAAGCTTGAGTTTCATGATGAACATGACCTGTTCTCCGTGCTGAGTGTTATCTCACCCTCTGCTACACATTCATCATCGAATGATACCCCCACCTTGAAAAAGTGAGCAGGTTCGAGATATCATTTCTCAGGTTATGATTTACCCAGTTATTGCAATTGCACATACACAAATGAGCTAAGACATTCTGAACAATGCCTACATAAGGTCTACCCGAGCTCAGAATTGACTAAACTGTAGGAGCTGAAGCAGGCTTGCTTTGTAAATCAATTCTGAAATCATTTTCCGTAAACATGACCAAGATCAAGGTCCCTAGGAAGGAACATCGTGAGAAGTTTCGAACTAGCTACCTTATTCATTTACATTTAAAGTTCAGCTCATTAAGCAGAGTCCTTGTCATCTATTCATCCGATACCTACATTGAACACAAGTGAAGAATTAAGTATTGATAATGTGAATTATTGCAGTTCTAATTATCCGACTCTTCATTATGATAGTTTGCCATTGAAGTAATTATATCATTAATAATAGTCATTATTGGTGTCTCTTTGAAGAAAAATTTCGTGGTCACATTCTTATCTCAAGTGTTTGATTAACCGTTTTTGTTTAATCGAATCTCAATCTTCCAAGGAACGAACCTAAGGTGACCTTTACAGTTTCTGATTACTGAGCAACATTGTAAAATGGCGTTTTCCAGCAATTTTCGGGTTGCATTTCCAGTTTGTTATGTTTTTACGTGTTTCTTGAACTGAGTTGAAGTTATGTCTTATTAGATTTAATTCTATTTTATTGCGTGTTGGTTGATTGGCCGATCTCATACACATCCAGGTTAGTTGATCGACCATTTCCATATCGATTTTTTGCAAAATACGAGTCTGATTATGTGGAATGTTGATGATCTCCGCTCTTGAAACCTCGTGGATTTTCAGTCTTTATCCAGAGATAACCGCAAATATTTCGTCATGTCTCTATGGTCAGTATTGTTGTATTCATTCAATTAAAGCAGGATCTGCGCGACAAATCGATGCACAATTTACATACCGGAATATTTTACTTACGAAAAAAAGATTGAATTTTCTCAAATTGCAAGTTGGCGGAGTGTCACTGAATGCAATTGGTGACGTGCCAACAATTCCATTTAAAAATTACCGGATGAGCATTATTTATGAACTGGATGAGCATTTACGCTTATTGCTACAAATCTTCGGAGAAGTTTAAAGTGGTGGAAACGGCGTTTCGTACGTGCATATTGTTCGTAGCATTTGTTTTGTGATCACATTCGGTATTCAATTGTGACCGCGTACAAACGAAATATCATTTTGATTGTTTGCAACCGTTGTTTATGATTTATTGAATGGCTTTGATGCGATGGCTCTTATCAGTATCACTTTTAATGGATCGTCACGATTACTGGAACATTTTCCTGCTATGAATGTTCCACTTTCAATGCTCGTTATTTATTTGCCTTAGCATCATTGATCAACCACTAATAATAGTCAAATATGCTCCCACGAGTATCATTAGTGAATGCTATGAAACGTATGATTAGCGAATCAGTTAAACGAGCTGATAAATGTGTTGGCAGTAATTGCTTTCAGGAGGAATAAATTTTGATTAGTTTGGATTTGAATGAGTATGATCGATATTCCGACGTTGTTCGAACGAAATGATGCGACTCGCCGAAGTACAGAAATTGATCATACATATTGTAGTGATGATGAAGGTTGTGGGGTTGCTTTAACGAAACGATTGAGTCAGTTGCGCGAAGAAGGTGTTGGCTGTGATGTGGAATTTGTTGTTGGGACGGAACGTGAGGTGGGTGAGATTCATTGATGAATAGATGGATTCATTCAACACCCAAATGCTCGTTGAGATTTTCAGATTTCAACTATTCATTTTTCCTTCATAAACCCCATTCGAATGGTAATGGATCTGATTGTTCATCGTCCTTGATCTACTTCAGATTATTCGGGCGCATCGTCTCGTGCTCGGCTCTGGATCGAAGGTGTTTGCTACAATGTTCTACGGCAAAATGAGTGAAATCGATCAACAGGAACCTGGTTCGTATTACAATTGTCATGATAAATAAGTTTTTACTCAATTTTCGCATATTCTTTGGTATGGTATCTACTTTTTAAATGAACAAGTCGCAATGCTTAAGCGGATGACATTTTAAGATATGAAACCTGAGTTGGGACGATCGGTAGTTGAAGTACCGGATGTTACACCTGGAGCGTTCACAGCATTAGTAAATTTTTTGTACACAGATTTAAATACAGATGATGTGAAATTAGATGATGACACAGTAATGCATACACTGTATGCAGGTAGGTTCATTCAGTAACTGGTCGAATCTCTATACTTTATAAGTATTTTCTGAAACGGTAGTATGGAATCATATGAGTAAGATGATCGGTTGATGATTACAGCGAAGAAGTATGATGTACGTACGTTAGTGGTGGCTTGTGTTCGGTATTTGATGAGTTGTTTGAATGCTTCGAATGCAGTTTGCTTGTTGGCACAAGCAAGATTCTTCGATGAGCCTTTCTTGATGAAACGCTGCCTTCAAATGATCGATACAAACACGGACGAAGCGTTAGCCTCTCCAGGTTGTTTATCACTCATGTTTGTTTGTATTGTGTTTTAGCTTGTTTAAATAGGGTTGTTCGTTGTGTCGAATAATTAACATTCATTCATTGTTGGTTTGTTGATTCGTTTAGGTTTACGGGATATCGACCGTGAAACCTTATCGATGATCCTGGAACGAAGTGAGCTGGATCCTTCAAGTGAATTGATCATTTTTAGAGCAGCTCAGTCATGGAGTGAGGCGGTCCGTAGTCATATTGCATTCTGTTTTATGTATCTATATCAATAATCTTCTCACTCATTCATCGACTAATGATTGGTCTTTAAATGGTGATGTTGCTGATAGATTGATTTGAAGGAATGTGAAAGGCAACATTTGGATGTGACGCCGCATAATCAGCGTACAGTTCTTGGTCCCGTTTTATCGTTGATACGTTTTCCACTGATGACAGTTGTTCAATTCGGTGGAGCAGGTAGGTAGGTAGTTGTAATATTTTCATTAACTAACATACGGTTACTCACAGTCACATCTTCTTATTTTTAGCCAGTTCAGCGTTGCTGACTTGTGAAGAAATTGCTGAAGTATTCTTGCACTTAACTGTTATTCCACGGCCACCTGTATCCTATCCTACAAGTGAGCGTTTCTATTCGTAACATTTACGTATTTGGTATATTTATTTTGGAATTTTGAATATTTCATTGTTCTGTATAACAGAATTTTAATATTTTCTGCAAATCTCAATGATGATATTTTCGACGGATTAAGATCGTTATTTCTGTGATACTGATTCGCAGTTTGTTGATCAATTTATCAATTTCATTGTATCAATTGACAAATGTATATAGGTTTACGTTGTAATGGCCGTTCGAAGCACATTGTTAAACGGTTCCCAAACGTGTCAGGCAAGCGCTGCAATAAGCGTGAAAATAGATTTTGGTAATTAGTTATTCCATCTTCTACTTTTTGATTCATTACGTTACCGTGAAAATTTTTCAATCATTACAAGTATACATGCATGTGTAAGTATATATTTTGCCTTTTAACTATAATAAGTTTTAAATTTTTCGTGCTTTAGTCTTCATTTCTTTTTGGTAAAAGTTATTCACTTGCAGTTTTACTGCCGATCGCGATATACTGGTCACTGGTTACGGGATTTATGGTTTTGTGCCGATGACAAAGCCACATATCTCATTTATGGACCCAACAGTGGCGCTTGAATGGCAAGCTCAAGTTGAAATACAGGTTTTAAATGCATATCAAAATTATGCCAATTTGGGAATTAGTCGAAGCTTTCTTGGAGGGTTTTCTTCAATCAATAGGACAAATGGACAGATCGATATTGATTGGGCGGACATCTGTGTTGCTCATGAATTCACTTAAATTTTTATTGAGAAATTCTTTTCCCTTGTGAATTGATCTTTTCTGCAGTTCTGCCATTATCGGTTGTTTCGTAAACGTAAATACGTAAACATTCTCTCAGAGTTTGAAAATTATTCTGTTTAAGCTAAGTCCTTGTTTGGATTCACGTGAAACGACAACCGCTCCTGCAACGAATACGACTTATGCTGAAACTGTGCTACTTAAAGGTATAATGGGTGATGTGAAGCCATTGATTGCAAACTTCTCAAAACCAATTCAAGTTCCAGCAAACACTAATTACATAGCCGGAATGAAGTTTTTGGTTTGTTCTTCATTCCTTATTATTTAGTTGTGATGCTAAATATCTGGTTTTGCCAATTTTCCTTGTTGTTAAAACAATCAAATGATAATACAAAATTTTCAGTCAGATGCAACCGTGCAAACATACGGAGGGAAAGATGGCGTTGAATATGCAACCGTACAATTGCCATTCGATGAGTCAGTCACATTCCACTTTCAGTGTTTCAAAAACTCGTATGGTAGTGAAGATGTGAGTCGATTCGAAGGACAGCTTCCGGAGATTCATTTTTTTATTCAGTGGCCCGACGGCATTCATTAATTTCTGTGATACTTATGTGCAATCCTATATTTATTGTCAGATTATTTCATACGTGATATATCTTCATTTGCTTCAATGAATGCTGTTGTGGGTGATAAATTTCGTAGTGAATATTGCTACATACAGTCGTTGCGTGGAGCTCGTATTGTATAAAAATGGGTGAATGAAAATAAAAAATTTTGCTTCGCCTTTACTTTGAGTCGGGAATGGATCGTCGCATTCACAGATGAAGAAATTTTCGGGAAATTGAAATCTATGGAAAAAAACACTTTTCCTGAGTTTTCGTATTTTCAAAACGTTATATGATGCTACAAGAGCGCACGGAGTATATCGGTTGCAGTGTTACATTTGAATCATCACATCTGCGTGTGTAAGTATTGTACATCCAACGCAACTGCCACATTCAGTTCAATTCAAGGCTATGTTATGCTGTGAATAATGCTCTTTCATCCGTCCTCATGCAGTAGCAGTAGCATATAGCATTTACAACAATATATATATATTTACTATAGCATACGAGGAACATCTATTGAATGCACATTCATACCCACATCCAATCAATAAACTACTGGTTGGTTTGTTCTTCTAGTGTCGAGTTGCTACAATTCGTGAAGGAATTGTTGTTGTTGGGGTTGTTATATGGCAGCCAAGCTGCGGCAGCATTCCCTCTCAAGTGTACGGAAATTACAGGAGGTTAGTGAGAAGAGGATGCAAGGAAGGGAAGATTTTTAAAAAATCTTTCTTTCCTTATTGTCCTATCATCATTTTCATCATTTACGACTCGTCACTTCATTATATTTAATCATTGAGGGATTATGATAGTGGCCATTCATTTACTTGTCTGCGTTTTCTTTATTCGTTTTTAATACCTCATAGAAATGATCTATTCTTCATTTAATTTCTGTAGGCCACCCAACCATGCGTTCATCAGTGTTGATATTCACCTGTGTGAAGGTGTGACCGCTAAAACGCAATCATCGGTCACTGTCATCTGTCATGTTGCAAACAGCCACTGTTTGCATAATCTTTTTACCATACGTGACTCTGATCATTATTTTATATTTTTCGTGGACCCATCAACAAGCCTGTGTAATTGCTGTAGGTGTATAGCCATAATTATGATCGCAATGCCCCCTATTTGACAATTTCTGTCACCGTTCCTCTCTCGGTATTTGTTTCGACTTCGTCAATCGTTGATTCTGATCCTTGTTTTATATTTTTCGTGGACACTATCTATTAAGATAGCAATTATGAAAGGATGGATTATTGAGTTATCAAGTATTTACCAACATACTGATTGATTTCTTGTCAATTCGTATCAGTGCAGGCAACCGAAGATCATTCACTGCTACCAGTTGTTTGATCAGAAATGAAGTCGTTGTTTCTATTTGCTATCAACGAAGTCAGTGTTCAAAACTGATCAAACTGAATTCTAGTTGTTTGTTTTCATACATAATCAGTCAATTTGTAAGATGCTTACATTCGGCCTAAGTAACGCAATTACTTTCAGTTGTTCCAGTGAAATTTGGCATCTCTGTTGTCTTTGTTGCTCCATGAATTCTTTTATTTTTGCTATTATAAACATAACTGTTTGCGAACACCCTATCGGTGGCCATCGACGAGGCAAACTTTGATCAACGGTCGGTGATCACCGAAATTCAGGGATAAGCGATTTTTGAAAATCAAGGTTATTCGATTTCCTTCAATGGGCACTAAAAATCGGTCTGTCAGTCTCAGTCGACGAACAAGAATTACCTACTTGTCTGTATCATAATTCTAAAATTCGCTAACGAATGTGAGATAGTTGTTGAACCATCAAACACTTTTTGTATCACACGAAGTTCTTTATTCAAAACATCTTTTTCTTGACGCGATTTTACATGAAGCAGAAATGATATTTCAGTACAATATTCATTATAACGAGTAGAAAGTTATATTAAAATCAAAAGTCTTTTTACACACGACACTCTAGAACTACTAACGAGAGAACATCACGGAAATGGAGTCTGTCTAACAATTAGGAACGACTGCCACCAAAACACGATTAGTTCCAATTTCTTTTCGCCTTTAAGAAGCCCGAATTCCTGTGAAAATTCACTTACAATTAGTCTTCTGCTGTGCATTTTGCAAACAAGTCTTCCACTTTCGCTCCATACAGACGAGAAAAGAAATAGACATTGCATCAATATCCGCATGAAACTGTAATCAATTGTAGCCCTCGTCTAACTTCTAACTTCAAATTCATTCCCGCTACAGTTGTTAAATAAATGTCACATACAAACACTCATGCTTGATTTCTGCATCGCTTTACGAGAGAGATGCATAGAATTATGATCTAGCGCTTGTTTCATGCATTTAATTCCAACTGAGTTCTTATCACGTCTGTTAAAGCACTGTGCAGTGACATCAAGAGCAAAACGTATTCATCGATCAAAACGTATCTGATGAACGAGCGATTTGGTGCTCATCGACCAGTTTCGGTCGGTCGCACGGAAATTCGTTGTTCACGCATCACCGAACGAACAGTCGCTTTCGGTTTCGGTCGGTGACCACTGAAAGCGGATTTTTGATAACCACCGACTGATCACTCTTTCGGTTTCGGCTAGCAGCCAACTGTTTTGAGGGCCTTTCGAATTAAGGTTGCCACCACATCTCGGTGCCTATCGATGCAACTGTGCCCAAAATGCTTGTCAATGCTTGAAAAGTTCACTGAATTTATTGACTTAACCACGATGAGTGCTAGTTGATGGTGCTGTGTGTGATTTTATCATGTGATCTGTTTTTTGAAATAGATGCAAGTATGAAATGAGTAATACTGGGATCAATTAATCAGTAATGAGACACTGTGCAGTGAATATTTTGCTTTCACTTGTTGTTGTGTAACAAGCATTTTGAGGTGTTCGTCAGCTGTGGCAGCCAAAAAAAGCATTTCATAACCAAATGAAGCAATTCATAACCAACAGTGTTTAAAAAGAGTCAATTCACTAAGGAGAAGTTTCAGTTGGTACACGATTGTAACGTGCAGTTGGCTGCATATCGTAACGCAGTACAATGTATAGGCACAAACCAAGATGGTCTACAACTGCGCAAAGATCTCGATGCAAGTGGACGGGCTTGCATTCGATCCTGTGAAGCTGCCAAAAATTGTGTTCTTCCGCAGTTACGACATGAAGGCTCGTTTCCTTGTTGTTTCAGTTCTTACAGGCCATTTACATTGCTCGATTCGATCAGAATCCTTTAATGACTATACAGACACGACTGATTAGTACGCATTATCTTCGATGAATGGTACGTCAGTTTACGAACTATTCGGGTTACGACTAAAATTTTCAGTACAAATTGGCCTCAGTTCACGATTATTGCTCTCTTTACGAACGTTTTGTATCAAACAATTTTGACGTTTCCTAGTGATATTCTACCCAGCGATAACAGTTACCTAGTAATTCGGTTATTTTTGAGCACATTGTATTTTCTGATTTTAGCCACTTTTCCACTCTATTGGAAGAGAATTGCTTATATGGAAGAGCATTTGAAGCCTTTGCAATGATAGTGGAGAGACATTTTCACTAATAAGGAATTCGGGCTGGAATTGTTTACTGAACAGATTCTCTTAGAATGGTCCTCGATGAGAGGAAAAACTAGTAAATTATAACCGGGTTCTTACGGAAACTTCTCAAAAATGCTAAAGGCTGATAACGAGGCAATGTCTCCAAGCGTTTTTCAAGAAATCACCTATGGAGACGAGTTTGATTCCAGTTGAAAACCGTGTTATTACCTCATGATTATTTTCTGAACTCTGAGAACAATGACTCATTGCAATTGTTGATATTCCACGTTTCTGCTAAAAAATTTACTCTCGGAAGAACTGGGATGGTCGAAAGGAATTGTTTCATTTTCCATTGGTTAGTTTAAACAAAAACACTTCTGTTTACGACCAAACTGTTAGAACAAGTTGTGTTCGTAAGCTGACGTTCTATCGTACAATAGTCTTTTGAGTACGTGAATTTATGGACGTCTTGTCCAAATTCGCACGAGTATATCAGCACGTTTTTGTCAGTGGCTGGCTGTAGAGAAATCAATTGCATCAACGAGTTGAAGATGTGTGTTTTAAGGATGAAAGAAAGAGTTATGGATGAATAATCTATAAATATGATCTGTTCATTAGTTGAAAGAGAACTAATAAAAAGAGGAATTTAGGAGTTGAATTCACCCGTCACGCATCTCAGTTTATTGGATGTGTAAGCGCATGTGTTGTGGAGATGCGGCGTTGTGAGGCACTCGAACGAACGTTTCCGTTGGGTGATGATTTAACATCAATTTCATCGCAACAAATCACGCACATGGAGCAAATGCTCGAAACACTCGAGAATCTCATCACGGTCCATTTTTCTACCAGTGAGGCGTCACCAGCTGAACGTGTCGCACCGCGTCGTCGACGTGCACCGAACTGTAGACCGACTTGTGTGTGCTCGAAACTCAAAACCAGTTACGCATAATGTATGTGTGTGTGTGTTTGTGTGATCGCGATTATGATATATATATATGATTTATTATATTATATCATATCAGAAAAATCACATAATTCAATTCCATGTACACAACTTAAATCAACTTCAATAAACTTCTTATTCATTATTGTTATTTGCTAATAGTGCCCAGCAACCTGTTCGCTCACATTACAGCAATTCTTCATATGTGTGTATGTCCATTTGTCACTTCATATGTTCGCCGACTGCCCATCGAATTTTGGTCAGCGGTGTATTTGATCATGCTTGTGGCAGCGAATCAACCGCTGAAAGTGATGGCTGTTCTGAATGAACTTCAAGTGAATCGCCATCGATTGAGAAGTGATGTGATTTCCAGGATGATCCTCAGTCTTTATGACAGGTGCCATTGTAACACTTTCTGAAAGTGAAACATACCAAACGAGCCAGTGAATGAGATCGAAAACTTACAATTAGCTGTAAAATATTTCACAAGTTGTATAGTTACTGATCTTAAAAAAAATCAAAAAATTTGTAATCAAGTTTAATATTTTGCATTAATTTTGCTATCAGTTTCAACAATGTCTTATGCAGTAGCGAAATGGATAGTGGATTGCTTCTGAACGAGTATCGCCCTTCTTGCATCACTCAAATGCTTATTGTCGGCGATTCATTATATTGTTCAGAGGTGTTCTCAAATGAGGGGAATTCTCCTGTGTGGATTGAGCAATCGCAGTGTTTCAACGAAACGCATGGAACGCAAATAGATCGAAAAGCCCTGAAACTGTGATTATGTGGTGTTCTGTAAAAACAATATTCATTGGAAGTGGTGTGAAACAAGAAACATTCCACACATTTGTGCACGCCAGTGTAACGGCTGCCAGTTGGAGACTCAGGATTTGCTGTTATAGTTGCAATTAAACAACAAAATCACCAGTCTTCCATCTGGAAGGGAACACGGCATCATTGATTTGGTTTAAACTTCTTCTTTACACGATAATCTGTTAAGAACACCACCAAATGTGTGTGCGCGCATGGGCAGCACTCATATTTCAAAGCAGCAAGCAGACATTTATCAGATTTATTATAGCCATCAAAAGATTTAACCTGTTAATGAAACGAAGTCATTCATTTCACTCATATCCAAGTCCCAGTGTCATCGTTTGATCGAAATTTGAGACAATTGACTACTCAATTGACGTGGTCAAATTCTAATCAAGTGATAAGAACAAATCGCACGCATCATTAAAACATACATTTTGTGCAGAAATTTTTTGACTTTAATTGATTTGGTTGCTTGATAGCTTTTATGAGCAACATTTATCACCTAGTGACTCGAAAGTAGTGAAAAACTGGGCGCAATTCTGAACCGAACGGCAGTTAGTACCATAAACCGCTGTTAAGCCGTATGACTGTGAGCAATCAAAAGTTATTTTTGAGATTGATGTATTTTTGATTGATGTTGTGGCGGCCGACGATAGCAACAGAAGATGTGATATTGAGGTACGTAATTAGATTCGAGAGGTGGACTTGGTTTGCATACCGTACTTGGGGGTCTGGGCGGATGTCTGTTCGATTTCGAGCGATCTAAAATCTCGATTCGATTGACAGAAAATTAATGAATAGAGGACGGCTCAGTTACGATGAATAGAAGGCTATTTTCAATTGCAATTGATCAGTACTAAACGAATAAT